TAGCCTTTACAATCAATGGTATAACGGCTCACAGAAGAATTACAGACATTCAAGTAATTTAGACATCAGTTATTCGGAAGATTCTAATAGTTTGAAGAGCAACAGGTATGTTTGAGTATTTTATAGTTGTGTTCTTCGAGACTATGTTTTACATCCGTTCCGGAGATATTTTCAAATAAACATCCAACCATCCATCTAAACTTTCACATAATATTAGTAAGATCTGCAACTCGAGATTAAGTGACGTTGCCATGTGCAGCAATATGGCAGTGGAATTTCCAGAAGAAAAAAAGATGTAGATAAGGCAAATAATACAAGAGAAGGGATAAGGCTTTGAATAAATATTATGTGTAAATTTTTATGTTGATCACATTTTATTTTTTGTAGTGAAATAACTGAGGAGCGAGTGACCGGGCGGCGAGCGGACAGAGAACAGAAAGGTCGCCGTGACTCCTCTGGATCTGATTCTGACTGGGACAGACAGGTGAGGATGTTTATAATTATTAAATCGTTGTTATTAGGGTCGATACAGACAAGGCGAGTAGAGTATTGAGGATTTATAAGATTAAAATAAGGTTTAATTTAACTTTTCTTGCATGTTGTTATTAAGTACTAGTGTAAAAATCTGCCTGATCTCCGCCCTTATCTGTGTGAACGAACCCTTTAATTGTGTACTTAAAATATATAAATAGATTATATTTAAATAAAATTCTAAGCGTAAAGTTTAGCTTTTTAAGTTTTTTTTTTATTTGAGATCGGATTTGTAGTTTTTTTTGCAAAAATTGACAATAAAATGTCATCATATGTTATAATTTTCAGGATGGGAGTAGAACTAGCGGGAATATTGATATGACAGATATAAGAAAAAGTTTATTAAATGAACTCAATCATGTGACTGTCCACAGGTAAAAAAACATGTTATTAAAAAAAATGAATGAGGTCCTATTCTAAAATATTAAATATAGAACTTGAAAATTTTCAGAATAACAGCCGGTGAAGAGAATGTCCTATTTCATTTTGTACAACTGGAATCAGAGAAAGGAGTTTTGATAGCGCCAATGAAAACTATCGAAATGCAAGCGAACAATGTTTTATATTCTTACATTGTTGCTACTTTTAGGAAGGCTTGTAAGAAGATACACGAGTTACTGCAATATAGTATGAAGTAAGTTTATAAAGACTCCGTCCGCGCAGTATTGAGAAAATCATAATAAGTAGACTATGTGTCCTTTCAGACTATGTTCCACATCTGTTCCAAAATTCTTCAAGATCCGTTGAGCCGTTCCTAAAATAACTTGTAGCAAACATCTATCCATTCATGCATCCATGTATACAATCGCAGTGAGATTTTTTTATTCTGTCAAAGATAAAAATGATATTTGTTTTAAATATTTACACAATATTTTTTATTAATCTTATGTAAACTTACAATTGAACATGGACACTATAATACAATGTAATTTTGATTTTTTTCACAGATTTAAAAAGAACCATGCGCCATCAAATCCGTTAAATAAAATCCTAGTGGCAGTCAGAGAGTATGGCAGCTTGTTTGAAGTACCTCATGATGTTCTCAATCAGTGTGGCATTAATAAAAAAAATTGTGAACCCTTTCTGTTTTGGGTTGTCGGGTAGGAATTGTCTTTTATTATTATTTTCCGACTTGGAAAAGGAAGCTTATGTTCGAGTTAAGCATTTAATTTAATGCCTTGTCCCAGTGTTTATAACTTTTGCTAACTTCTAATCCTAAATAATAGTTATAAATCAGTGTACTATTGTTTAATTTTTTTTGTTTATATTTTAGGCGAGTTTTCAGTGAACCAGAACCAAGAGAACTATACATATGCTATCACGAATCTGTTCCCCAGGATCTTACAGAAGTGGCTCAGTTATTATCTTATTTAGAGTAATGTAATCATTCACAATATCCTTGTGCAGTTTAGAAGTTAAATTATCTCAATCCCATATTATTAAAAAATATTGACCTAATTAATCTTACAAATATGACATGTGATATATTCCGTCCAGTAATGCGTTGTGTATAAGATGTATACAATAATGAGTGACATTTTTACAGTTTTGTTTTATTTACACTCCCTTGAAAGTAATAAAAAAAATTATGACAAACGAACGGTTTTATGTACGTTGAAAAGACTAGGAAAATTGACCTTGCCATCATATATGATACAAATCAGACAAAATTACGACAGCTTACTAGCGCCCCCGTTAATACTACACGATCCTTTTTGTGCCGTAGCTGTTAAATATCTTTCTATGTCTGTTTTAAATTTACTGACAGAATCAACCGCGATAGCAGCGCCTCACCGATTCAGATATCCTTGTTTGACTTTTTTAATTCATGTTTTTTTTTTTAATTCCTAAAAGTCGCTCTTTTGATCCGATATAGCTATTGTGAAACCAAATTGATCAAATAAATTCACATTTAAAGCAGGGACAGTACCTTAACAACTAGACTCTTAGTGGAGGTAGTGAGAAAAATCCTCTCGTTGTTCCTCTAAGTTAGTTCGCTTCGTTAGCTAATGTTGGTGGTCATTCCTATTTATCTACTAGGTTCTCCTAATTTGAAACGGAAATTCTAAATTATTACATAAGAATAAAAGCGTTCAAGATCAAAAATATGGCAATTAAATTAATTTTTTAATCTGTGCACTGTGTGGAAATTGAAAATGATCCGGAGAATATAACGGAAATGGCTATTTGCTTCTCATTTTTTTTTAAGTTTATCTAATTTGATATTTTGACTCTGAAAGGTATGTGTGTAAAGTTAAATTATTTTATTTAATATTATGATATGATTTCGTTTCTTTTATAACCTTCGAACTAATGTAATTCAATAATATGAAAAAACAGTATCAATTTGAATGGAACCACAGACAATAATGCATCCGTACCTCTTAATTTCCGCGTGTGTTATCGCATTATTATATTGCCTTTGATTTAATTATCTTTCTCAAAAGTTCGTAGAGTTTGTGATCGTATAGGCTCGTTGCATTCCTTTGTCATGGAAAATTACTGACAATATTTTTTCTGTTTTCATGGGTTTTACTTGTTTGGTTTAATCAAGTGAATAATACGTGTGTCTAAAATATGATTACAAAAATGCAACCTCAAGCTAATGTGGCAGTGCCACAATCTGTCACGACGCAACCTCAACAAATAGTCGGTGTTCCTGCAAATGCTGTGATCTTAAAAATGTCGGACATACAACAAATATCTACTGTTGGTGCGTATTTCTGTGTGTTCTTTGGGTTTATTACTGTAAACTTGACTATTTAATACTTTTATGGAGTACCATACATTTACGAAATATTTTATCTCTGTTGAATGTAACGCGTTGATTAAAGTAAGGTTTATAATTTTGTTTTACATTAGGACTCCTAGAATTAGCACACCGAGAATACCAAGCAGGAGATTATGATAGTGCAGAGTTGCATTGCATGCAGTTATGGCGACAAGATGGCACCAACACTGGGGTCTTGTTATTGCTGTCATCAATTCATTTTCAATGTCGTCGATTGGATAAATCAGCTCACTTTTCAACCCTTGCTATTAAGCAGAACCCTTTGTTGGCAGAAGCATACAGGTAACTTTATTTTTATATGCTTTAATTATAATAAAATTGTCATATATTGCAATAATTTTTACAATGTCATGTGTACAATGTCTATGTAATTAAAAATTACTGTTCTCTTTTATTGCGTACATGATGATATCTACAAAAGTTTAAGAAATAACTTGCACATAAAACTTTCAACTCTAAACCCAGGAAATAAAGCTTGAATAGTGAAATGCATGTTAATTGAAAACACTTGTGTGAACATATCATTGAATACAAAACAATTGTAGAAAACATAGCATGATTTATGTTACTTGATACTTGGTGGTCAAAGTACAAAATGTTATATCATACAGTATTGAATGTTTAATTTAAAATGATTGTATGATAAATGATAATTGCTCTAGTACTGTTCTATTTTTTTATTCATACTTTTTTTATAACAATTAACAATCAGTGCCAAACACAATCCTGGCAGGTTTAATTTCAAATAGTAGTTTTATGAAACATATTGAATTTAAACAAAATTCCTGCAGATGTTTGACCTTTGCTGAATATGTTATTGTATGCCTCAATTGGATTCCATATAAAAACCACATTTTTACAATATGCAATTTAATAGCAATGGAATGCATATTGTGAGCGATATAGAGCAATGTAAACATTTTTTCATAAACAAAATGCATAATTGTTATTATTGCTGTAGATATTTCATGTGTTTAAAATTGTATTTAAAATATGTTTTTAGAACATTTCATATATTAAATTCATTAATGACTTCAAAATTATTATTACACTAGCATTGGCCTCTGACTTTGTCAGTGCAGAATTTAAAAAAAAGTTTTTATTAAATATGCCAGCAAGTTGCCTTGCTGTCCAATGACATCTAAATTTATCCATCTGATTATCCGGGACAAACATGACCTTGCTGAAAGACAGACGGATAGAAATTTTTTAATTTGGTTTTTCATTATCAGCAACACATATACATTGTTTTTGAAATATAAGTTTTTTGATGTTACATACAGACAACACAATTTTATTAACATGTATAGATATATTATATGATACGTAAATTTCAATCAAGTTTTTTTTCCAGTAACTTGGGTAATGTATACAAAGAGCGTGGACAGTTACAAGAGGCGTTGGAGAACTACAGGCATGCGGTGAGGTTGAAGCCTGACTTTATCGATGGATATATCAACTTGGCTGCAGCCCTTGTGGCGGCTGGAGACATGGAGCAGGCTGTACAAGCTTATGTCACTGCACTACAATATAACCCCGTAAGTAATAATAGCTATTTGATAATTAGACAACTACTTAAATAGTTTAACAAAAGCTATGAGATTTCTTTAATGATGATATTAATTATTAGTGAATTAAAAACCAAAATTTTCTGAATGTTTCTAAATTACATAGCTATTTTATCTACTCAATGATTAAAATCGATATAAGGGGATAACAGCAAAACAAAGTAAGGAATAATTTCATAAGTGTAAGTAAAGAATGGAATTTTGTATAGAGGAATATTTTGCCTTTACTAGAAATACTTAAAATGGCTAAAATCCTTAATTATTATGTAGCTCTTTTTTTTATGAAGCTAATTCTACGGGTGAACTCAAGGGTATCATTTATTTATACTTATGTCTTCGGTAGTGTTGTTTATTAAATGCTAAAGATAAGAATGTATTATAATGCCCTTGAAATTATCTGAAGTTCTTGGTCAATATTTTGCGTACAATGTGAGTTATTGCAGATTTCTTTGATAAGGATTATCAACAAGATATGCATAAACATATAGCAAAGTTTATAATTGTGTAATATATACATGTAAATATATATAGACATGTATTTACACGGTATAAGAAAACAAAGAAATTACTTTAAAAGATTCATAACAAAACAAAATCAAAATAATATAAATAATTAGGTTTATTTATTGATATTGTTAATTAAAAAATAGCACATCTTATATTACTAATATTTGGATGGATGGATGATTGTTACATGGTATCTGCAGAACAACTCAATGGATCTTGCAATTTGGCATAGACATAGAACATAGCCTGAATACAAAGGCTACTAATTCTTTTTTAATTGCTTGTGGATGGAGTTAGTTGTAGAAAAATTCAATCTGAACACACAGTTTCGAATTAAAAATATACCAACAATACGTCGATCAAAAAATTCCAGCATTACGCAATGAAAGGCAGAGGCGACGTTAAAATAATTCATCTCATACTTAGACATAACGATAACCTTGAACGCTCGCTCGCGGAGTAAATTTCCTGCTTCGGCAATTACCCATTGTCTTGTTTGTCATCTCTTGCTTCTGATCATTTCCATACAGATCACGTTTTGCTCTTTTATGTTACGCCCCAATAATTTTAATATTACGCATTGAATGCTCTCTTTGTAAGCTGAAAAATGTGTTTCAAACGATTTTTTTAATTGAGATTTGTATAAACGTGGTCTTTTATCTTTTACTTTTACCTGTATCATGAGGTATTATAAATATAAATTAAAAGATAAGATCGAAAAGATACATAAACATATTTAACACATACATTGTCAATTATGTAACCGAGTTGTTAATTCATGTAACAATGCCTATTGTTTGTCTATTCCACGTTTTTTCTTACTTTGTTGTCGCCCTAGTGAATATAATGACATAAATAATGTTAATTATAGAAAAATATTAGCTGTCACCCACGACTCTGTCCGCGCATGGAATGAAAAAATCTTTATTAGTTCCCGTCAAATATTCGATTTTTTCTCATATTTTAAACCTTCCCTAGACCTCCACGAACATTTCAAGACCAAGATAAGATAAATCTGTTCAGCTGTTCTCGAGTTTTTGCGTAGTTCAGTTATATATATAAAGAAAAAGATTTCAAACCCACTTATTATAAATTCTTTCACAGTAAACAGTGTTGAGAATGATTGAAAATTGATTTTTAAAAAAGTTGTCTGTGGCTAATACATAATTTTTAAACAATATTACTTTTTACACAAACCTATTATATATTGTCATTATGACTGTTATTCCTGTTTAGTATAATTCCAATATGTACTCATTCTATAATAAAATGTGTTGTCTCAGGAACTTTACTGCGTTAGAAGCGACTTGGGCAATTTGCTCAAGGCTCTCGGCCGGCTCGACGAGGCAAAGGTAAATAAGATCACGTTTTCCGCAGTATGGGTTGCCTGAAGCTAACAGGACTCTAGGACTCGTTCCCTTTGTGTGCTAACAATTAGCGTACTCTCTGTTACGTCAGCGTAATTATTTACAGCGTAGTTACACACGGTAAGGCATTGCGTAAATTTATAATGGTTTCAATATTGCTTAAATACATATTTTACCTTTAAAGTAATTATATTCTCACTTGAAACCATTGTAAAGGGTGTGTGAATGAATCCGTGAATGACGCATGACAATTCGCAAATAGAATTATTTGTTCACCGATTTGTTCCATATTTGTATTGATGCAAACACAATTTATGAGCGTCGATTTGATACTTTTGTTTTTATAGCGTCTTGCGTAATTAAATTCAAAGTAATCTTCCACACCGCGTATATATTAAGTTTTTTAATCTAATTTATTGTTCTTGAACGTTTGTTGTTTGTATTTGGTAATTTTTTTAAACGTCGTGTGGAAGATTGAAGTCTTAATAGAGAGTATGCTGATAGTAGTTTCTTGAATATGGAAATTTTTGATTTGATTTGTCCTGTTTCCTTCAAAATTCACTTAGTTATTCTAATCCTTGTGCTTGTAGTTGTTACGATACATTGGAATGGAGGATCAGAGACGTCAGTAGTATTAATATATTTATTTATTAGCGACGTGGAGTAGTGTACATTGTTCAGTACGATACGATTTAGTCGTTCACCCGTCGGCCGCGTCACGTCACCGGCCCGCCGTGACGGTACGATCCTGACAATGATCCTTATCATGTAATTGAACATTTGATTTAGTTATGAATCGGGTTCGAATCAGTTTGACTCAAAATCAACTAATTGTGTTATATTTTCACAAGGTGTTGTCTGGTAAGACAGTAGGTGTGACCGATGCGGTATGTAGCTGGTAACGGTTGGTACAACACTCTCTCCCGCAGCGATGACCCGCCGAGCCACGAAGGTAAAGTGTTCAATGTTTGCAAGAAATTGTTTTGGACAGGATATCGGATACATCTCGTGCACATTGTTCTCTCATTGTGGTTACCATCCTCTCTCATCGGTTGGGAAGTGGAAGCTCTGTCGATTAAACATCTTTAAGATCTTTATATATTTTTGTATTGTAATGTATCTGTTTGTTTGTATTATAACAGTGACTCGTTTGCATTTCCTACTGATGTTACCGCTATCGGCGTAGCGTACAGTAAGTAGGGCGCATTTGGCGTAATATGATAAGCAAATGTTGACTGGTGCTCGGTCGCCTAGGCTTTTAATTCGGCTACCGGCCGCCAATCACATCGCCTTGGTGTAAATTCTTTATCTGGCGTAACATACATCTCAATACTTCATTAATGTTAAAATGATTGCTCTGTGTCCCATAGTAATATCTGGTTTTGTTCGTGTGTGTAGGCTTGTTACTTGAAGGCCATCGAAACGAGGCCTGACTTTGCAGTGGCCTGGAGTAATTTGGGTTGCGTTTTTAACGCCCAAAGTGAAATCTGGTTGGCAATTCACCATTTTGAAAAGGCCGTGGCTTTGGACCCGAATTTCTTGGACGCCTATATCAATTTGGGCAATGTACTCAAAGAAGCTAGAATCTTTGACAGGTAATATTAAAAAAGTAAAATTATAATGTAACATATAAAAACACTGATTAACGAAAATTTATTTGTTTGATCAGAGCTGTGGCGGCGTATTTACGAGCTCTGAACTTATCGCCAAATAACGCAGTCGTCCACGGAAACTTGGCATGCGTGTATTACGAACAGGGCTTGATTGATTTAGCGGTCGACACATATAGAAGAGCGATAGAGCTACAACCTAATTTCCCAGATGCATATTGTAACCTAGCTAATGCTTTGAAAGAGAAAGGTCAAGTCGCCGACGCCGAGGACTGCTATAACACGGCGCTCCGCTTGTGTCCCACTCACGCAGATTCGCTCAATAACTTGGCCAATATCAAACGTGAACAGGGTTACATTGAAGAAGCGACCCGATTGTATTTAAAGGCTCTTGAAGTATTCCCAGAATTCGCAGCGGCTCATAGCAACTTGGCCTCAGTACTTCAACAACAGGGAAAACTCAATGAAGCACTCATGCATTACAAGGAAGCGATCAGGATCCAGCCGACCTTCGCCGACGCCTATAGTAACATGGGTAACACGCTCAAAGAAATGCAAGATGTGGCCGGAGCTTTGCAATGTTACACCCGAGCTATACAAATCAATCCAGCTTTCGCCGACGCGCATAGCAATCTCGCCAGCATTCACAAGGACTCCGGAAACATTCCCGAAGCTATACAATCTTACAGAACGGCATTAAAACTGAAGCCAGATTTCCCCGATGCGTACTGCAATTTGGCGCATTGTCTACAAATTGTTTGCGACTGGACCGACTACGAGGCGCGTATGAAGAAGCTAGTCAGCATAGTGGCGGAGCAGATAGATAAGAATAGGTTGCCGTCTGTGCACCCTCATCACTCCATGCTTTATCCCTTGACGCACGAGTTCAGGAAGGCGATCGCGGCCCGACACGCCAACCTGTGCCTAGAGAAAGTCCAGATCCTTCACAAGGCCCCGTACAAGTTCGGTCGTGAACTCCAAGGTCGTCTGCGCATCGGTTACGTGAGCAGCGACTTCGGCAACCACCCGACGTCGCATTTGATGCAGTCGGTGCCCGGCCTGCACGACCGCACAAAGGTCGAGATCTTCTGTTACGCCCTCAGCCCCGACGATGGCACAACTTTCCGCTCGAAGGTCGCCCGCGAGTCTGAACATTTTGTCGACCTGTCTCAAGTGCCTTGCAACGGTAAGGCCGCTGACAAAATCTACGCGGATGGAATTCATATTTTGGTGAATATGAACGGTTACACTAAAGGGGCGCGGAATGAAATATTCGCACTGCGACCCTCGCCGATACAGGTTATGTGGCTCGGCTACCCCGGAACCAGCGGCGCCAACTACATGGACTATATCATAACTGATGGGGTCACCTCTCCTTTGGAGTTGGCCAGTCAATATAGCGAGAAACTGGCCTATATGCCTCACACGTTCTTTGTGGGCGACCACAAGCAAATGTTCCCGCATTTACAGGAGAGACTTATCCTTAGCGATAAAATCAAATCCCACAACAGCCTCGGCATTCTAGCCGACAACGTGGCCGTTATTAATGCGACAGATCTGTCGCCATTGGTCGAGAATACAGACATCAAGGAGATAAAGGAAGTAGTGCGAGCCGCCAGACCTTTAGAGATTTCACTAAAAGTAGCTGAACTACCCACGACCACGCCTATCGAAACTATGATTGCATCAGGACAAATACAGGTTAGTTTTTTGCTTTTTTTTGTGCTTTCAGTTCTATAATAAGATTTAATGTTCTAAATGTATTAATGACTTATGATTAAATTGCAGACATCAGTAAACGGAGTAATATTACAAAACGGCTTGGCGACGACACAGACAAACAACAAGGCGGCGACGGGCGAGGAGGTGCCCCAATCAATTGTGATCACAACAAGACAACAGTACGGCTTGCCAGATGACGCTGTAGTCTACTGTAACTTTAATCAGCTGTACAAAATCGATCCCCTGACTTTACATATGTGGGTGTACATATTAAAACATGTCCCTAACAGTGTACTCTGGCTGTTGAGATTCCCAGCAGTGGGTGAACCAAATTTGCAGTCCACTGCACAACAATTAGGTAAATATAAAATTAACAATTACATCTGTTATCACAAAAAATACGTTTAAAAATGACAAGTTTTAAACAAAAAAGTGATGTAAAGACTTATTTTTAAATATAAAAATAAATGAATGTCATTCATTGTTGCCATCAGGTCTCCCTCCCGGCCGTATAATATTCTCCAACGTGGCGGCGAAGGAGGAGCACGTGCGTCGCGGGCAGCTGGCCGACGTGTGTCTGGACACGCCGCTGTGCAACGGACATACCACCAGCATGGACATACTGTGGACCGGCACGCCTGTTGTTACGCTGCCCGGAGAAACATTGGCTTCTAGGTAAACACCAATTTCCTTTCTACACAATAGCAAGCCGCCTATGCCCATCCCTTTCTACACAAAATAAGACTAAACCACAATTTAATTTAATTATAAAAATCAAATAAATTTTACTTTTGCAAACATCTTTTGTAACAGATTATAAATGTATTTTTACAGAGTTGCAGCTTCACAACTCAATACTCTTGGTTGTCCTGAGCTCATTGCAAGAACAAGGCAGGAGTATCAAGATATAGCTGTAAGATTAGGCACAGATAGGGAATAGTAAGTATAACTTTATTTCATATTTTATTAAAATGCTTGTTGAGTAACTTATGTGATTAATATTGTCTGTACAATATTTAATTTATTCCTTTTCTTATAGTTTGAAAGCGATACGCGCGAAAGTGTGGACGGCAAGAACGGAGAGTCCACTATTCGACTGCAAGGCGTACGCGACAGGCCTCGAGATGCTATACGCTCGGATGTGGGCGAAGTATGCACGCGGTGAGCGACCCGACCACATACAGGCGGTCGACAAATAGACCAAGCGCAGTCGCGCTGACAGTCCCGTCTGCAGGAAGCGCTGCCGGTGTTGACACACCTCTGTGTTGTGAAGAGAAAAGAGGAATAATAAAAACCTCCATGGAGTTTCCAGCCAGTAGTGTATACGTTAGTGAGATGGATCGCAAAAAGAAAGGTGTTTCAATTTCTTGCAGTATGGACTAGCAGTTTTGTTTCGCCATAAGACGCGTAAGACTATAGTGAATAGTGTTAGAGTTTTAATTTCTAGTTATGTTAATGTTTCATTGGAAAGACTTTTGACATCTGACAATGGATAATGTGTGATAAACTGGATTCAGTATTGGATGTGGAGTTAGTTTTGTGTTGCGATGACGTATAATGGGCTTACAGTTCCTCTAGTCAAATGTCGCGTTATATTCGAGGTTAATACCTCGAGTTGTATCGCGGGTAAGCCTATTTATTCTACTTAGACACTGCAAAATGGTGTAAAAGAAACCAGTGGCCTTTTATTAAAGTTTGCAATAATTAGATTACTATTAGAGGTTTCAAGTGATCTGTTCATTAGGCTTTTGTCCATTTGACAAATTTGCTACTTTAGTGTAATAGATTTCATAATGGCCATGTTATCATATTTTCATATGATTATTAAAGGAACATGTTTATAAATTTTGAACATGTGTTGATGAAGTATACGGATAACAATAGCTAATTCATTGTTATATTTGCTGCCATTGTTAGAAGAGTTGATATAGCACAGATTAAATATTAACAGTAACAGATACAGTAAATACATGTTACTGGCACATTTTTGTTATCTCATTACACTTTTAATCTTTTCAACTAAGCTTTGTATATATTGGAAGCAGTAAATAATGAAACATACCAAAAATATTTATTACTCTTAATTTTTGAATCAACGTGAAACAAGACTGAACTTGGCACAACAAAATGGCGTCGGTACACAACTTGGTATGGTAACCATAGTGTTGTGAGGAACTTTATATTTTTGGTATGGTCATGTTTTTTTTTAATAAATTTAAAAAAGCATGCATTTTGCATTTTAAAGGAAAAATTGATTAGAACTTGCATTATTTGTATAACAAAATGACTAAACCCTTTTTGAAATTAGTCAGAAAGACTAGATTATAATATTTATTGACATTTTTTCTATTTAAAATTGATTTTCATGTCATTTAAAATAATGTTGTTATTTAAAAAATTAAAACAAATTTACATCATTTTTAAATTGTACTGGGAGCATATTTTATTTTATGAAAATATGTCTATGAACTTTTTATTTGCAAAATTGATTTCTTTACTAAATCGTAAATGAAATCAATAAACACTTTGTTTTTTAAAAATATGAGAATCTATTATTGATTAAGCTATGATTTTACAAAATGTAAATGTTTTAAAAATAATGTATTTAAATTTTAGTTAATATAATTTGTTTATGATAAAGCCAAGTTACATCAGATTATAAAACCAAGAGCAAGTGACTTAGAAGTATAATAAATTTGTTTAAGCAAAGATGTAAGAAAAATGAATACAGTTGAACCTGGATAAGAGAGAATCTAAGGGACCGCAAAATGTTTCTGCCTTATAGAGGTTACTCTCTAACGCGAGTTTCTTATAGTGGTCGTATGTCAGGATCGGGTAATGACTCGGTTATAGAAGGTTCTCGCTTATCCAGTTTCAACTATAAAAATGTGTATGACTGAATTGAATAACGTATTTTGCGAAAGATAATTTGCCACTGATAAGGATATTTGGGTAATATTCTCTCAATTTATAATTATTGTTAGAACCCATCAGTTTTAATTTTGTGGCATGTAAGATTGTTGACTCATGTTAATGACTATGTCTTTGAGATAGCTAAGTTAATTGATTTGTATTTGTTTACAGATTAATTCATCTATGGTATGATTTTAAAACTTAAAAGTAATAAATAACTTCATAAATAAAATGTCGTTTTATTCAGCGGAATGAAGTACGATTCACAAGGAGTCACTGGCGACAGCTAGTATGAATATTTTAAAAGTGTCTAGGTGTCGCCCGCAACTCCGTCCGCGCGGTATTAAAATAAAAGTTAATAAATAGCCTATGTGTTCTTCAAGACTACGTTTTACCTATGCCTAATTTCAACGAGATCCGTTCACCCGTTCAAGAGATACCTTCAAACAAACATCCATCCATTTATCCATCCATTCATCTAAACATTCGCATACATAATATTAGTAGGCTAGTAAGATTATACTACTGTTTGGCTTGTCCTGTAGACACAGTTTAGACTTAAAATTGGAATTTTTATATATATGTATACCTTTATTACTGTATTACTCGTGTGTTAAAACGGGGATCGTTTAACTCGAAATTAATTAGTAAGCCGATCTGCTTTTCAGAGTGCACTGTACCAAATAATTATGATCGAATACCGTGAAGTTTGACCGCAGACACGCTCCCGCTTGGATGCTATTCGCGAAATATTAACGAAAATGATACGAGAAAAATAAGGGGTAAATATTTTACAATTTACATTATAAACATTGTAAATGTATTTCATTAAATAGTAATAAAAAATAGTTTAATAGCATTTAAAGGGAAGTGAAGATAGAAATAAAATCCTTAAGGCTTACGAATGTCGATCGTGATTTAAAAATATACAATTATAAAGCCCAAAGAAAACCGAACATGGAGAAAATTACTGGACCAAGCCCCGCTCTGTCCAATTTGTGTCAAAGTTGTTTGGTTCAATAAAATAGCATCATGCAACGTTAGCAGGTTACGCTGCTAGGCGACAACTCATTATGCGAAGTAACGCCGCGAAATGCTTCGCTGTTCTATAGACCTAACTTTAATTAGTTTTGCAACCTTAGGTATTGAAAATATTTTAACATCTTTATTGCGAAATTCGTTAATATCAAATTATTGTCGGTGCTTACGGTTGTATACCTAAGTTATTAGTTAAATACTAAACTCGGTATCGGATATTTTCTACAGTTTAAATAGGTAGGTATAGGTAGCTTTTTGGTATCTGTTCACAGGTCGGGAGCGGTCGCAGAACCGTTTCAGTTTCGGATCACTTACTTCAGTGATCTCTCTGTTATTCTGTTGGTTAAGGAAAATCAAAAATAAAGAGCTTACTTTGTAATTCATGTCGCCTTTGTAACTTTATTATTGGACAGTAATAAGATGAAAAGTCAATATTCTTTCTTATTATCTATTTAATTAGACAATACTATTTAAGATTTTCGAAACAAATGCGAGGAATCACATCATTAGTTATTACTGTTTCTTTTTTTAAAGTCCGTTTTAACGTGTAACTGAAATATATGAGTTCATAATTCAAAATGAATTTTAATCGCATTTTAAACTTTTACCACCACAGATTAATTTCGGGTTAACTCTCATTACAGCAACGTAAGTAGTTTTCAAAAATATGCCTTTATGACGTCACATATTTCGCGCGCTTGCCGCGGAAGCTGTAGCAAGTATGCGGCAGTTTGTAAAAGCTTATCGTAAACTTTTGCGGACTACGCGGTTGTAAAGGCGGAGTTTTACATAGGTTATGTGTGTCCGGTACACACACCATTGTTTAAACACATTCATAGATGAAATATGAATTGCAATTTTATTTTACTTGTCGCTGACGCGCAATAGCAATTTATTTTTAATTTCAAATCAAATGGCTCGTTACCCACCTATGACGTATAAAAACAATTGATACTGAATTCACTGGACATTGTTATGACATTTGCTACATACAGAATAAACTAACCAGTACAATGTAGATTAAAAATAAAAACGCGGGCAGCTGCTCTAACCGATATTTTTCTTGTTGTTTGTGTAGAATTTGTAATTGGATTACAACCAGTTTCTATGTAGGTGAATGCAAACGATTATCTTTTTATTCATTTCATTGTAAACAACAATGCTAGGGGCTGTGTACGATACTAATACTATAAAGAAGATATATTTGATTGTTTGCATTGAATAAACTCCGAAACTACTGAACCAATTTGATAAATTCTTTTACTGTTGGAGAGCTACACTATCCCCGAGTGACATAGACTGTTTCTATTACTAGTTTTTTTTTACTCCGTGTGGACGAAGTCCCAAAAGTAGTAGGTTAATTTATTATTTCGTAATGGTTCGTTGGTTAATTCGTAAAAAAAATCTTTACAAGCCTGGTATGTTATTTTATCTATGGTTACTTTTTTGGTAGTCACTAAAAGCATTCAGATTGTAGGCATAAGCCGGTAATGCCGGATGTTGTTTTAGGATAGTGGATAGTAGATGCTGACGAGACCACCGACCATTCTCTGACCCTTTATACTACATACAGGTGTTCATTACATTTAGTAATCTCTGCAATAAAGGATATGTTAAGACAGGTAAAGACGGGTATAGAGAGATTATGAATTTTATTTTTGTTCGATTCATCTTTACGTTAACATTGGTGTTCACTCTCTTTACTCTAATGTCGTCCACCTACTGAAGATCGTATTTATTTCTTACATAAAAATAACTTTATTGATTTTCCATTGCGGGCGGGGATTAGTGTAGAAAATAGAGTAATATCCTGTATAGTGAATAAAATATAAAATCTTACTTCTTATTAATATTATAAATGCGAATGTTTGGATGAATGTCTGTTTGTGAGAAAGTATGTCTAGTACAGCTTGATGGATCTCGCTGAAATTTAGCATACATATAGATCATAACTTGGAAGAACACTTAGGCCAATAATAATGTTTTTATTTTAATTCCGCACGGATAGAGTCGCGGACGACGAATTAGTAAGATTAGGATTGTGGCAGCCCACAGTAGCATAGAATGCGCAGCTGCTTATTTCTAGCTGAAAAATATTTCATAACCTCGTATAGGGGACTTTTTTACGTCATTCATGGGTTGGCAGCAACCTGTTTTGTCGAAGGAAACATTTCGAATTATGTATGTTGATACATATCACAAGAGGTCATAAACTTGTTACCTCATACATTTGTTGATTTAAACTTTGCAGTTTTACAACGTTCAAGATAATATAATTAACCTACAGTTCTTATTCTTAGTAATTTTGTTTGTACGGTATAATTTGTAATTTTATAACTTTTCTTTTCTTTCTATTAAACACACATATAAATATCGCGTGTCAATTTTTAAACACAACTATTGCAGTAAGATCACTTGCTGCATAAGTCAAATGAAAAGCAAGCGTTCGGGTTACGCAAGTTATGACAGTTCGCCAACCTATTGTTTGAATGCATGCAAAAATGAAATGAACACACTTTGATAGGTCTTGAAATATTTTTTTTTATCAACAATGTCATATTTTCCTGCATTCTGTGTGTTTGGTGTAGCAGTACCACAATTTACTTAATATCATAGTAACATAATTCATTACGTAACCTAATCTTACGAACATTAAATGCATAATAAAATTTGGATGGATTTTTGTGAGACGGATCTCCTGAACGGCTGCACAGATCTAGCTGAAATTTGCCAGATATTTTTTTTATTATAGTTCCGAGCGGACGGAGACACGCGCGACATGTTAATATGTATTTGGTAAATATAACATTTAAACTGTACTACCGGATGTAATAATGTATATTATGTTTAGTTAAAGATATGGTTAAAATATTGCTTTTTTACGCGACTGCTCGGAAGGATAATGTTTTTAATTATTGAATGGACACTTTTGTTGAAAGTCTTCGTCGCCAGTACACTAATTATGCAGGGATCGCTTACGATCCTGATGCAAGCAACATTTAATAACATTAATGGACGCAGAGTCACGTAACGGTTTCCGTTTCCTACAAAAGTCTAAAACTACGAGGGTTACATAGTTAGTATGCGGCAATAGGAACGCGATGGTGTGGCCCGAGCCCTGCAAGCGCGCTCATGGCGTCTCGCGCCCGCCGCCCGCGAGCCGCACGGCAGTCACCGGCCGGTCGTCGCGGGGGGAGCCCGTGTCCCGGACGAACCCATTGCGCCTCGCTCTGTTTACTACGCTCATAAACGAAATCGTACTGTGAATAGTATTCCCCGCTCCGGTCGTTAATATGATCGTTTGCGAAACGCGAACTATATTGACCTACTATGAAATAAGTTGACGAGTGAAAATGTTATGGTCACAGTGTGGATTAAAATGATAATTAACGTGT